AAATAAACGTTGAAAAAAAAATTAAAAAAAAAAAATATGCAGTCAAAAAAATAAAAATGTTTTGTGATCTTCTTAATCTACAGGCACCAATTCCATCCTTTTCTTTCCTTACAAGTTATCTATTGAAGAAACTGGGGCATCTGACCTGTATAGTTTCCCCAAATCTGGATTTTGCTGTGTACTTGTGCTGCAGTCCAACAGGGTCTTCTGTATTTCTGCACATTGGCAAGTGGATACAGAGGCTTGATCTGACTCAGGGTTGAGCCCTTCCACATGACTCCAGCTGGTGCTGTATTCCCTCATCAGGTGGCACATAACATCTATATCTCATGTGTGGTGATGTTAGCAATTGACACTTGATGCCTGGACTCACTGACTTTCTGGAGGTTTCAAAAAGTTGATACTCCTCATTTTAACATTTCTTTTTTTATTAACTAGAATGCTTTTATGAAGACAGGCTTCCCCTCATCTCCTATGTAGTTACTCAAGAAAAAAAGACAATGTAAATGCTTCTTTCACTTTGTTTACCACTTGCGAAGGTAATCAATTGGTTCCTTATCATCTTCTGAAATTGAACAATTTCTACTTTAAAATATAATTATGACTCATGGATTTAAATATATATATTTTAAGTAGGCTTCATGCCCAGTGCAGAGCCCAATGTGGGGTCTGAACTCACGACCCTGAGATCATGACCTGAGCTGAGATCAAGAGTTGAATGCTTAACCGACTGAGCCACCCAGGCGCCCCAACATATTTGATGGGTTTTAACCCACTGCAATGATTTCTTACAAAATAAGTAAATAAGCTTTAAATAGAATAGTTTTATATTTACAGAAAAATTTAGAAGATAGTGTGGAATTCCTATACATCTGTACCCAATTTCCCCTATGATTAGCATCTTACACTACTTTTTCCCTGAGGTTTTATCTAGTGTCCTTTTTTGGCCCCAGGATCCCATCCAGAGCGCCACATTACATTTAGTCCTCTGTCTCTTTAGTCTCATCTTGGCTGTGACAATTTCTCAGATATTCCTTGTTTTTGAGGACCTGAGCAGTTTTGGTGAGTGCTGATCAGATATTTTGCAAAATGTCCCTCAATTTAGGGGTACCTGATGTTTTTCTCCTAATTAGACTGAGGTTATGGGTTTTGGAAGAGAATATCATAAAGGCTGAAGCACCCTTCTCATCACATCAAATCTAGGCTACACAACCATCAACATGACTTCTCACTGTTGATATTAATTAACCTGGATCATCTGAATAAGACAGCATTTGTAAGGTTCCTAACTGTGAAGTCTCTCAGTCCCCTTCCACACTGTAGTCTTTGGAAGTCACTAAACAGCCCATACTTAAAGGGGAGAGGGAGTTGTGCTCCATGTCTTTGAGACAGGAGTATATACACAGATTATGTAGCACTTTCCTGTCTCTTCTCCATTTATTTATGTCATCATTTATTTCTATTGCTATAGACTTAAGGATATTTATATATTTTTTTGGTAATCCAATACTGTTATTTTCCCGCTCAAATTCTTCGAGTTTTGGCCAGCAAGAGTTCTTTCAGCTGGCCCTTGTGTCCATTAGCATACTTAAATTGTTTTGTTTTTTGAGTCCTTCTTCATTTTCTAGTACTAAAAGATTCTTCAGGGTCATCTTGTTTATTCTCTGCCTCAGCCTAGAAGCAGCCATTTCTCTAATGGGCTCTGGTTTTTAAATTTTTTTTTTAACGTTTATTTATTTTTGAGAGACAGAGCATGAACAGGGGAGGGGCAGAGAGAGAGGGAGACACAGAATCTGAAATAGGCTCCAAGCTCTGAGCTGTCAGCACAGAGCCGGACGCGGGGCTCGAACTCACTGACTGTGAGATCATGACCTGAGCCGAAGTC